CTAATTTCAGGTGCATGTTTGCATCATTACTTGATGTGCATATTTAATTTAAGGTGCATAAAAATAAAAGACTTTTAGGGGTGCAGTTCATTTTCAGTGAATTCCCTCTTCCTTACCTCTTCTCCCCTCTCAATCCTGCGGGCGGCACTGATGATGATCTTGTGGCCCCGCTCGAATGTCACAACCTCAGCCACACAGTTCGGCGAGCATGAATGATTGATGTACCTACGGGATAAATTGAACTCAAATTGAACTTAAGGGGTTTTGTCCAAATACACTACCATTCATAAGTTTGGGGGCAGTATTTATTTTTTATTTGCTCCCATAAGTAATGTACACATTTGAAAGCTGATATGAGAAGCCAAGTTAATTTCTTACCTTGCAGGGCTTCCAGACCGGGTTGCATCGATAACTCGCTCGCTGTCGATGCGGAACATGTACGCTGGGCGGTTCTGTGGGAGAAATCCACACAGATTTATACAAATGCATTTCGAAGTCAAGGCAACATTATTCCCAGCGCTATTCCCTCAGTGGTTGAGCAAGCTTTACCTTAGCCTTGTACAGCAGCTCTTTCCCCATGGCCACCTCAGCGCGCAGAATATCCCCCATGTATTCAATCACCATGGTCTGCTTCTCAATGTCACGCGCTGCAAACAGCCCAAGACCCTGCAGACATGAGACACATTAGACATGCATCCACACCCAAGGCTAGAGCTCACACACGTTTAGTCACAATGGGCATATTCCATAGGCTTACGCTGTTTTATATACAGCTACATATAAATACTATAAGCTAACCATAACTGAAAACTTTCTTCTTTTATACTGTTTATACAAACGAGGACATCCCCAAAAGGTTTGCCAGGTTTGCACTCAGGTTCTGGGTACAAAATTGTCCCCAAAATCTGAATAATCGGTATACACACACGTTTACTTGGGACATTTCATTGACTTTTTGTATTCTATTGTTTTTGTATATAGCTAGTTCTAAACAATATATCCAAACAATAACAGAAAACTTTCTGCATTTTTAGAAACTTTATTTTTATATAATTTTTTACAAATGATAAAAAGGTTTTGTCAGGTTTAGCTCCTGGTTTATCTTCAGCCTTTAAGGCGGCGATGACAGAAACAGAAAGAAAACATTATTTATGTTCCTCAACTCAAAAAGTAAAGGTCACCCATTAAATAATACATGCATGAGGAAATCTTTCACCATGCCCTTTTTCGTCCTTACGTTCCTCACACAGATTTCGCTTGTATTCAAGGTTTAGCTCACTTCTGGATAATAATCCATCCTAGGTGTATATGAAGTGAATAGATGCATTTGTGTAAGAAAAATATCCATATTTAAAACTTTATGAACCATCTCTGGGGGGTAAAAAAAAAAATCCATATTTAAAACTTTATGAACCATCTCTGG